AGGGGGGGGGGGAAGTGGAAAAGGAGGGAGAAAGGAACGCGAAGGAGAACGAGCAAGAGGAAGATAGAGGCTCTGTTCCGTCCAGCTGCACCGCGTTACACTTTCTACACTGAGGTGAAATAATGAATGCGAAATGAGATAGTGCTCTCTGACGAATACCGCGAATAATGTTACGAGTGCGTAACGTTACGACAGATAAAACAACAGATAATTATGTATGTAGGCTTTGTATACATTATTTGTATACGTTGAAAGATATTTTCCATCGCAATGTGGGAAGAGCGAGGAGAAAACGCAACGGAGAGTGCGAGGAATAGAACCGCGACGAGGCGCGGTTAAAGAAAACGAGTTGTAATACCCGATGTCGAGAAGTACGCGATAATGATCCTTACGTAGACTCGCGGATCCGCGAAACGCCATGATTGGCTTAAGGTTCTTTTTCGCGTGCGACGTCGGAGATCGAAGCTTTCGCGAGCTTCGACTTAATGATCGCGAATGAGAGGATGTGCCGCCGCTACAACGACGACAAATTTCACGAACGACTCACGATCGCTTTTCGCTTTTCCTATGCGATACCCTGACGTGACACGGAAATCCCTCGTGAAGCCATGCAGAGAAATAGCGACAAAGACAGGTTATACGACACGCTAGTCGGCATTAGGACTGTGCGGAGTGGTTTCTGAATTCGGTGCAAGTAATCATTTCGGCCGCGCTAAATGGCTCCATTTTCTTGTTACACGCACATATATAATGTTATATATTAAAAGATACACACACACATATATATATATATATATATATATATATATATATATATGTCATATAACTGTAAATAAACAAAAATCGCTCTTGTACAGGGCTGATACTCGGCTGATTAAAAGTTCTTGATGAGTTTCCAAACGCACCCCGTATCCAATAAAATTAGTTTTTCTAGTAATTCTCAGGAAATACGTCTTCCTATTGGAATACGGCATGCTCCGTTGCCAAAATCATAAAAAAACGGATTGCTACACTTCATCAGCCGACAGTGCCGATTCCAGAGGTCGTGTTAAAAAACGAGTACCATTTCGCACAGCCCCAGTCGGCACTCCCACGCGTCTTCGACGTCCCAATCTTCTTTTGACGCGAACACCCACCGTGACTCTCGGGGGGTCAATAGATTTCGCGAAGGAGAGAGCACGGTACCACCGCCAATAATATCGGTGTGAAATCATTACACGCTCAGGACGCGCTTGATTTCCGCGACGGTGGGGGTGCCATGCCGGAGCGACGGGTCAATATAGAGAAGAGAGGTTATGGCATGCACGTCTCATACATATACGCGAATAGCGCCGGGGTACTTACTGCTAATTTTCATGCCTCCCAGGGGTGGGTTCGCGGGCGGCTTGTTGCCCTCGGCGAAGGAGGTGGTCCTCGGTCGTCCGCTCATCCTGAGGCTGTCTCGACCGCCACCGCCTTCTCCTCGTCTATTGTCGCCTGGCTCGTCGTCGTTGGCCGCCTCCTCGGCCGGCACCGGCAGTAGCACTTTCTCCTCCTCCTCCTCCCCCTCCTACGCCACCGCGCGTACGTGCACGTCAAAAAGCAGCCCCTAGTCGCGGCGGCAGTGGTGGTGGTGCTAATAGTGCTGGCGCTCCTCGTCGTCGACGTCGTCGTCGTAGCCGTCAACACCACCTCGCACATCAATGACGGAACCGCACAACCGCGATTATCACATCGCACGAGGAGCGCGCGACTCGCTCGCGCTGCTCACGGCGACACGCACGACACGCACGCACCCCGGCACGCACGCACGCACAAAACGCGCTACCAACTCTCACTCTTTTTCTCTCTCGACTCCACACACACACACACTATCTTCTTCTTTTCGTCGTTCTTCTTCTTAGGTGTCGCTTCTCTTCTTCCTCTCACGCTTTTCCCTTTTCTCTCTTCACTCGCTCGTGTTTTCTTCCTACCCGCGCCTCTGCGTTACGTCGCTACGGCCGCGCTCGATCGACGGCCGGGAGGGGAAGGGCGAAAGGGAAGGAACACCGGAGAGGTGAGTGAGTGAGTGAGTGAGTGAGTGAGTGAGTGAGTGAGTGAGTGAGTGAGCGAGCGAGAGAGAGAGAGAGAGAGTAAGCGCGTGAGAGGGGCGACGGGACGGGGCTGGAGCGAGGTGGCGCGGGTGGTGGAGAGGGGGTGAGAGTGACGAAAAGCGAGAAGTAAACGCAAAACCGGGAAACGACACGTTGCCGCCGCAATTTTCACGGCCGTACTCTTCCTCTTCTCGCCTTCTCTCTCTCTTCCGAGAGCTTGCCGCCTTCTTGTCTCCTCTCTCTGCTCTGGCGATCCGCTCGAGAGAGCGCGCGCGGCGATTCTCCTCTCTCTCTCTCTTCCTCTGGCGTGCCGCGACACCAGCGACGCGCGTACCGTATCTACGGCGAATGTACGTACGCACGTACGTGCGTACGGCAGAGACACACGCGCGAATTGACACACGATTTGGCAGACAGACTGACGAACGAGCCGGTCGTCCACGCGCACTATACACACACGACTGTCGAGCGCGCGTGCATACGTACTCTCGACACCACCCTCTCTTCTTCTTTCTCTCTTCTTGCCGACGCACTACCGACACGAACGCGCACTCTCTCGGCACCCGAGCGCGACCGCGAGCCGGACGCGATCTCCTCCTCGTTTGTCGCGCAGCTCACGTCCCGTTCACACGAGTAGGATGCGTTTTCTCGACGGTAAGACGGTCGCGTTGCCAACGCTGCCGTCGTTGCTGATGACGATGATGATGACGACGGCTGATCCCCGAGAGAAGCGCGATGCCGCCAGCCAATGAGCGGAGGAGGGCGCGGGACGACGCTGCGGAGCGCTGCTGCTGGTGAATAGCGAGGGGTGCGAGCGTCGACGATGGGGCTAATGTTTTCGGGACGGCTCGTACCGCACACGACGGCGGAGGCGCACAGCAAAGAAGCGCGCGCGCGCGCGCTGCGGCTCTTCTCTGGCTTTCTCTCTCTCTCTCTCGCCCTTCTCTATACAGCGCCGCTTCCGCCGCGCGCGATTTCACGGCGAGGCTCTTTCCTCGATCCCGTTTTCTCGCGGCACTACTCCTGTTCACGTAGCTCGCGTTCTCGACCGCCCGCCGACGATGTCTCTCACGCGCGCCACCGTGCGGTAGGCCGACGACGACGACGGTGTCGCGTCGACTCGATCCGCCTGCTTGTCCCGTCCGTCTGTCCCTCTCTGTTCCTCCTCCGCCACTCTCGCGCGGCTATCTTGGCACTGCTTCGCCTCTCTGTCTCGCTTCCTCGCACGCGCGAGAACACCGCCGCCTCTCTGCGCTCCGGCTGTGTCTGTCTGTCTCTCTTCCTCTCGTGCTCTTTCTTTCTCACAACCCGTCTCTCTCCGTCGCACTACGCTACGAGTCTCGTCGCTCCGGCTGTTCCACTCTTCGGGCTACTCGTCGCCCATACCTGGCAGGCTTCCGCGCTGCATTTCGCCGCGTTGCTGTCGCACGCGGCTTCACAATCACGAAGCAAGAGAACGGTCGCGCGATCGCGTACCTTTGCCTGTCCGCCTGCCTCTGTCTCTCTCACGTCGTCGTCGTCGTCGTCGTCGTCGTCGTATCCGTTCTCGACAGCGCTCGCACTCAACAAAAGATCATTCTACTGGTGGTCGCCGTCGTCGCTGTCGCCGACGTTCTCGTCGTTGTCGTAGGGTCCTCGCGTTCAACGCCCGTAATCGGCACTCGGTCCGCCTTGCTCTGTCTCTCTTACTCTCTTTCGTTCCCCGGTCCGGTGGCCGACTAGAAACGACACGCAGGGCTCTCGCAGCAGCCACCCGATATATCGCGGCGTTACGCGGAAAGAGCACGGGGAAAAAGGGGCGCGCGCGCGCGCGTTCACGCGGCAATATCGAACGATACTCGGCGATCAGCGACGACTTCTCTGCCTCGTCGTGCACGGCAACACCACACCGACCATGGATTTTTCGATGCCTCCTCAGACATTGACCCGTTCGGGCGAGATCGGGCCAGTCGAGTGCGAACGGACATTGCCGAGTATGACGTCAGTGACCCCCGCCCTTCCCCTTGCCGAACCGAACGGCTCTATCGAGTGCGCCTGATACCTCGTCGTCGATACATCTAGCGCCGTCTGGTGTTTGCTGCGTTCACTACACTATTATACCGCGATTATTCAAACTTGGAGAGATTCAACGAATCGTTCAAAATTATGATTCGAAGAACCGCGGATTATGAGAATATCGCGAAGATCACGTTATGAAATCGATATCACCCATGAATAATAAAAGACTATGAGGAATGTAGTCATGTATGATCGCAAAAATAACATGTATTTTAGGGACGTTGCTGCATATAATTAAAACAATTTAATGAGAAAAGTAAAACACTGTGAGAAATGTTATGTATAATTGCCAAAATCACATGTATTTCAGGAATGTTACTGCATATAATAAACTATCCAGTGTGAAAAATAAAATGGCATAAGATACGTATCATGTATGATTGCCAAAATGACATGTATTTCAACAACGTTGCTGCATATAATTGCCAAGATTACATGTATTTCAAGAATGTTACTGCATGTAATTAACTATTCAGTGTGAAAAATAAAATGCTAAGAGAAATGTGTATGATTGCCAAAATGACATGTATTTCATAAGAACGTTGCTTCATATAATTAAAACAATTCAATGAGAAAAATAAAATACTATGAGAAATGTTATGTATAATTAAACAGCATTTTATTTTTTACATTAATGAATAGCATTATATATAAATAACTTATTTTTTACATTAAATGATTATAATTATATGCAGTAATGTGTTTAAAATACATGTCATTTTTGTGCGATAATACAATATTTCTCATAACATTTTATTTTTCATATTGAATAATTTTAATTATATGCAGCTACATAATTTAATTATATGCAGCTCCCTAAAATACATGTCATTTTGATGCAAACATACATAACAATATTTCTTATAATATTTTATTTTTCACGTTGAAAATCGTTTTAATTACATGTAGTTTAGAAACATTGCTGCATATAACTAACGATTCAATGTGAAAAATAAAGTTTTGTATGTGATTTAGGATTTGGCATTATTATTTGCTAATATTAATTATTTTACTTTTTATTTTACCTATCTCACCTAAAAGTTTGCTAAAAATCAAAATAATCATTGGACTGTACAAAGTAAAATTTATAGTATAGCTAAGAATTAAATCGATATAAGATTCTAGCTAAACTAGTGCATATTTTCGAAACTTAAAAAAGAACAGGTATATAGTTGTGATTTATTGTAAAAGAAAAGATATAGCTGTAATTTGCTGTAAAAGGAAAGAGAGTACAAGCTAATACATAGCTAGACTTCAGTTACAAAGAACAAACTATTAATTAAGACGAGTCCAAACAAGACATTTTCCACCATATTATTCTGCAATAGAAAATTCTGTAAAAAACATGCAGTCAACTCACTTTTGGCAAAAAAAAAAAAATATATATATATATATATATGTCGAGAAACTTGTAAACTTTGAATAAAAATGACAAAAACATGAATCTTACTGGAAATGGCCGAACGCAGTTCTCCTCCTTGAAGCACTTTACTCTCCAATCTGTTCGTTTCCAATCGCTCATAATTCGGAAATTATCGAGCATCTCATCTGCGGAAAAATCAGTCGCTGTATTATCTAAGAGGAGTCCGTCGTCGAAAGAAACCGCGATGAAAAACTCTGCAAATTACATACGATATTCGTGAGGCATTGAAAATACGAAGTCCAAACAAGACATTTTTCGCCGTATTATTCTGCAATAGAAAATTCTGTAAAAAACACGCAGTCAACTTACTTTTGGCAAAAAAAAAAAAAAAAAATATATATATATATGTCTAGAAACTTATAAACTTTGAATAAAAATGACAAAAACATAAATCTTACTTGAAATAGCCGAGGAACGCAGTTCTCCTCTTTGAAGCGTAGTTTACTTCCCAGTTCGTTTCTAATCGCTCATAATTCGGAAGTTATTGAGCATCTCACCTGCGGAAAAATCAATCGTTGTATTATCCAAAAGATTATCCATCGTCGAAAAAAACCGCGACGAGAAACTCCGCGAATTACATATCATATTCATGAGGTATTGGGCGCGTTCAGCGAAAAAAGCGCTCAGTGAGTAATCAGCGATTATTGGTTCTCGCTATTAGATCTCTAAATCTAGACCAGTTACATTGACGAATTGCTCAACTGTTGTGCAACTGTTGAGTTCGCTGAACGCACCCATTGAAAATACGTCATCAAATGGTCGACACCTCGCCGCTTTCGTTTACGAATATTGAACTATGAATTGATCGAAGAGAGGAAACATCGTCAAAGATTGTCTACAATGCGGCAGTAGTTTTGTTTTAAAGTGGTACAGTAGGTCGCAAAACGGCTTATGCGTGGTCTACAATAGAAGTAGGAGTAGTAATAAAAAATAAGCAATAAATAAATGGACCAATCGATTATTCTTAACCCCTTGTCCACAACCTTGCTTTAATTCCTAAGCTTTAAGAAATTAACTAACCACAGTTGATTATTTTTAAAATAATCGAGTGTGGTTGGTCAATTTATTACGGCTTAAAGATTAAAGCAAGGTAAACAAGAGGTAAATCGTGAGAATGAAATTGATCAATTTGCTTACTGCTTATTTCTTACTACTACTTCTACCGTTGTAGACAACGCATTAGACACGACGAATTTCAGAGAGTTAATGGCCCAATAAAATAACGAATTATTAAAAAATAAGTTCTCTCCTTGGACCATCGGCTACACTCTGAAGTTCATTGCGTCTACAGCGTTTTGCTACACCCGACTGTACATATCACTGGTGTGTGAATCTCGGTCGTTCTCTATGTTCGTGTAAACCCGCGAGAAACGAAGGGGCGAGATGTGCTAAGACTGTAAAACGCACCCGCGCGATCGCTGTTGCGGACTGTTCTGCGATCGTCGTGTGATAATTACGCGATAGAAACGGGACGCCGTGTATACGTGCTTGGTATGCGCTCGCAAGGGCCGTTGATGCCGGCGCGTCCTTGAGCGGTCGCGCGGTCGCCGCGAGCTTCAGTCTCACTCGCGCTCGCCGGCTGGACGGACGTGGTACGCGGCGCTCGGTTATTCGTGTTATTACGCCGGCACGTAAATACGCCGACGTATTCTCGTAGATCCGCGTTACACATCTTCGTGCAAGTGACTAGTTCGCTGCGAGACGCAGACCCTCGGTATGTCGAACATTATTATCTTGTTGTCGTTCTCTGTTTCTTTTACACATTTCGCGCTTACCCTGTCTCTTACGCGAGCTTCAGTGTTTCGAGTGTTACTTCAATTACCGCGATAAATCTGTTTCTTTCGGCTGTGCCTTGTTAATTTGTGATTTATTTGAATCTCTCTTGGCGCTCTCCGCCTTTCGGGACATTTTGTCACGTGCTTGTGACCGCGGAGTGAAAGAGACAGACTGTGAGGAAAGTGCGGACGTACGCGTTGAGTTGTGTATTGATGCGTGATCAGTGAATATTCAAGAATATCGGATTAAAAGCGTTTTTATGGATCGCTGTGTATTTTCGCGTTTTTACGAGGATCCTATTTTCTTCCGCGTCCGTTATTGAGATACGGCGACGAGTCGGCGCCGCGTCACGAGAGATGGCGTTGCAAAATATTGAGATACGGCCACGAGTCGGCGCCTCGTCGCGAGAGATGGCACCACTATGCCGCGACCATTTCGGCGGTTTTGTGTTCGAACTTGAACCCGTTGAGATAGCAACAACGATAGTTCGATGTACCACAATCTCCGGCCGGCAGTCGTGTTGCGAGTCGTCGCGATTTCAAAGTGTCGTATGCTCGTCGAAAATGCGTTGTGAAAGTGCGGGTCGTCACACGCCCGGTTTTCCGGAGTGCGAGCGATCGAGTTCCCGTCCACGCATCGACGATCAGCCTCCGCCTCGCACAAGACGTCGTTTGCTAAGGTAAGCACTGTGAATCGCCAAAAACGTGAACGCCTGATACTTGAGTTATCGAATAGCCGATCAGATTTTTCTAGACTTTTTGTTTGATCTTGTCAACTTTATTTTGATCTTATCACATCTTTATTCATCATGTTCACACTGCGGTTATCCTAAATTGCTTGTCTCGCGGACTGCTCGACTCTAGATTTGCTTTCTTTTTCAGGTAAGCATTGCGTCATCGACGACGTGCACGAGTGTATGACGGTTTCGTGATATTTTGAATTCATAAATTCCGATTGCCTTCCGAGTACGAGATGTGTTCGTTTAGACAGTGACGTTTACTGTGGAATGTGTAAAAAGAAACATAATACTTTACCCTTTCTTAGATTAGATTTTCTTTAGATGAGTTATGATTCACAAGTGATTTTATTTGCTAGAATTTTTACCAAAAATAATTATATAAGGAAAGCGACCAAGTTTTCATAAGCTTTTAGTTCCATTTTATGACATTTAAAACTTTATACTATTTTTTGATAAAATTGTGGCTATTTATGACTAGATTGAAGATGTATTAGTATCAAAGTAATGCGTCTCATGATTTGAGAGAAAAATATATAAATTTTGTTAAAATAAATGGTATCGTTAGAAGCTTTACAAGAAACAAAAGTTTTTGCAAGAAATAAGAAACATAAAACAAGAAACATAAAAGTTTTGCAAGAAATAATAGAGATGAAAGTCTTTATCAATTAAATATAATGCAGGTTATAAATATTAATAATATTTATTAATGCAGGTTATAAATATTATTAATATTTATTAATGCAGGTTATAAATATTATTAATATTTATTAATTTAGAATGACTTTTACCAAGCTCCGATTAATTTAATTGTTAATTAATCTTGTTGTAACCAGCAAATAGCTATTGGCCAATTATGATAGAATTGAAATTGATTAAACTTGGTCGTACTTTTTGATAAAATATTAGAATCATCAGAAATGAAGAAAAATATAGAGTCATGTTTATATATCTATAATTTTGCAGACAGCACACAATATTTATAAAATATTTTAGAAATAGAGATATTAAATATTTTGTAAATACATATAATAACGCATGTAAAAGATTATGATAAGTATTTAAAATATTTATGAAGAATATTTTTTTCATAAATAAATAAGACATGATTTTACTTTAAGTAAAATCATATTTTAATTATTTTTGGGAAATATTCTTTATAAATATCTTTTCAATATTTAACGTATTCTTTTTTATAATTGTATTTTCGAACACATTTGAATATTTAATATCTATATCTCTAAATTATTTTATAAATATTGCATGCTGTATGCGGTTGTAATGAAATATTTAAAGCATTAGATATACACAAAAAACAGTCATATATATATATCTGTAATTTGACCAAATAGTTAAGTCATTATAAATACAGAAAAATATAGAGTTATGTTTATACATCTGTAATTTTGCAGACAGTCCGCAATATTTATAAAATATTTTAAAAAGTAAAATATTTTAAAATATTTTAAAAAGTATATTAAATATTTTGTAATTGCATATAATAACATATAAAAGATTATGATAAGTATAATGATAAATATATTTAAGATATTTATGAAGAATATTTTTTATTAATAAATAAGACAGGTTTTTACTTAAGTAAAATCATATTTTAATTAATTGTGGAAAATATTCTTTATAAATATCTTTTGGATATTTAATATGTACTCTTTTTTATATCTAAATTTGTCGGATATTTGAATATTTATAAAATATTTAATATTTCTAAATTATTTTATAAATATTGTATGCTATATGGGCGATTATGATGAAATATTTAAATTATCGGATATACATAAAAAATAGTCATATTTATATATCTATAATTTGATGAAAAATATTTGAGTTAACAGGAAAATAGTCATGTAGAAAACAGTCGTACTTATATATAATTTGACGAAATATTTCGATCATTAAAACTATAGAAAAACGAACATTTAGAAATGTGCAAAAATATTCTCTATATTTTGCAATGAAAGAAATCAAACAAACAGAACACTCTCGAGTTCTGTCGTGAATTATAGATCATTCTAAGGAAAAAAGCCTTAAAGGCATAAACATCGCCTGTCTATACGTAAACACAACTATACACAACCGACAATTGCTCGTCTTTAACGTTCGCCGATAATCAACGCGAGCCCAACGCGTCACGTGTTTATTATCCACTGCCACGATTGATCATAAACATTATTCCGTCAGAATCTGAATGACAACAATCTTTTTTCCATCGTAATACTTGTCGGTTAGTTTACGCGACGTGATGGCCCAGCAATGTAAACAGTTTCTTTTCTATTTCGTATCTTTCGCGCACGGGAGTTTATTGTGGTTACGTAGTCGACGACACAGTCGCGATACTGCGCGGCAAGTTACCGGTCGCGTGTCGGAGGTGCGGCTTTGTATCGGCGCGGGTCGATAAGGTAGCAATTCGGCTGCACTGCCGGGTGCAGCCACCAGGAGCGCAGTGCGCTGGCGCCGACTTTGCCCTTCTCCTCCACATCCGCCGGCTGTTCTCAGGCAGCCGGCAAAGCGCGCGCTACGGTTTAAGTTGCATTTTAGATGCGAACGAACGCGCATCGTTTTGGGCTCGCGGTTCGAATCGCGGTCACGCGGCACGTCGTCTCGCGGTCAAATCTCGAGGACGATCCGAGTGCGATCTGAGTGATTCTTCGTCGTCATCATCGTCATCATCATCGTAGCCGTCGCAGTCATCTTGGTCTTCGTCGATCCGGTGATTCTGCGGACTGTGACTGCGCGTCGCGGACCATCGGTGAGTTTGAAATTTCTGTCTCTGGTGGTGGTGACTTTTTGCGGGTAATTTTTTGGGTCGTGTGGCTTGGCGCAATCTTCGCAATCTAACGCGATTTTCCACGTGACATTTCGGGCTCGTGTCAGCCGTGTTTTGCAGCTTGCGTTTCTCGCGGCTTCGAATAAACGCGATATATGCGAATAGTGTAAAAATCAAACGCCTCTTTCAACTGTGAGTTTATTGGCAAAGCTGGAGTCGACTCTCCCCCGTTTTCAATCATAATCGGTTTCTCCCTTCTCTTCATTTCCATCGCCGAATCTGTCGATTGTTCTAATTGAACATATCGCAGCTTGGCGGTTGAAATATCTTATGGAACATCGAGGAATCGTTATATTGAAAAGAAGAAATTATATTGGAAGCTTTCGATACGCTGTTTATTATTTATTCCGTTTCCATGTCCGCTGAATGTTATAATGTATAAAATGCGCGATAACATTACAAATGGTATATGCGATATTTGAAATTGAAAGCAGAAACTTACTTCGCGAATCAAGTTTCCTTATTAATAAATAAGCATTTTGAGGCACAAATTGATAATGACAATATATTTATTATTTCACCCCGTCGGGAGAATAATGTTGTGTACACATTGAGCGACTCTGTTTACGAGAGAGACGTTTTTCTCGTTTTCGATCGTTCGAAAATTACCAATGTGCCGGACGTTTCTGTGAGAGGGGATCGAGCCAACAAAGAGCCTGCGATCGCAGGGAGTCGTGGTTGATCCGGGGATACCTTTGCCTCTCGAGCTTTGAATTTGAGGGGTCAAAGAATGCAGCGCCGGGAGTGAAAGAAGCGCGCGATCCAATCGAATGGTGAACCTTTCCTCAGGTATATTCGGCCCATCGCGCCGCGAAGGGAACACACACCGTTGGTTCATTACGTCGCGATCGTTCTTTCCCGATCGAATTTTGCGTCAAGCCGCATCCTCCCATTGTATTTGCCTGTGAATTTTGCGTTTGCGCCGGCTGTTTATGCGGATATGTGAGAATATCAATATTCGCAAACGGAATATTACGCAATAATGCTGCCGTCTGTCATTCGCCGATTAAACACGCGCGCGGCGTCGATCAAAAGCGGCGGAGAGAGGGAGGGGTGGCGGCCTTTATTTCCGCGATTTGATCCGGCGAAATACGCCGCTCGTTTGTTGTTGCCACGTCCACGTTAGGAATTAATCGCGCCACCGACGAATATACTCCAGGGAAGCGAGGGGAGGGGGCGAGTAGGAGCTGGGCAGCTTGAAATTTTTACGTGAAAAACTACACGCCCACGGCGCGAACAATGTTGTACAACATTTATCAGGGAGGATAAATATTTCGGGGCGAAGGCGGGCGTCCCGTTAAAAATATCGTCGAAGGTAAACTCCCTCGAGTTGAGGATTGGGGCGTTAAAAATGCACGGGTTATCAAGCGACGACTGCGGCGGCGTTATATCTTTGTCAGGGCTCGTCAGCGTGAATTAGCCTCATCCTTTCGGTGCCCGCAAGCCGGTCAAGTTTTAGCGAAGAAACCGTCTCTCTCTCTCTCTCCCTCCCTCCCTCTCTCCCTCCTATCCTTCCTTCCTCTCTCTCTCTCTCTCCTTCTTCCGCGCGACCCTCCTCCGACATTCTTGATGGAGGGAGGGACAGAGCAGGTTTTGACCTGAAAGGAGAGAGAGAGAGAGAGGACAACGTGGAAAAATGCCGCGACGCGAAGAAGTCCTCTCTCCAAGTCGCCGCACGAGATCTCTCTATTTCGGGTTTTTGTCTCGTGAGATACTCGCGCGATTTCCATGTCGCGGAATGATTCGTGAAAGTTGCAAGTTGCCAAGAAACACGGCGTCGTGCGACATCGTGCAATCCGAATATTGATATTGCCACATACAACATTCATCAGCCGCGATGCGATGAACATTTGACGCGAGTACGATGCGACGAATATTTCAACGGACGAGTACATCATGCGAGTTGTCTCTTTATATACATCTTAATATATGTGTGCATATGTGTGTTGGCAAAAAAGTGGACCAATGGGCGGGATTCATGATTTATTGATACGGTGAGGAATTTGATCAGTTATCGCTGAGAACCTCATTTGGGTAAGGGGCGATCGCCCTTTCGTGAATATGAAATATCGAGCTCAGCCGAGAAAAGTAGGCCGTGTTCTTTTCTCGATATTAAATATCGAGTTATGAATATTAATTATTTTTGCTTCAAGGCGCGAGTAATCTCATTTGTCGTCGCTGAAAGAGCGAAGAAATCGCCGTGCGACTGCGTTTCTTCCGCCCGTATTAATACCAGGTCGCCTTTTACTACGTACCTTTAACGTGGCGCGTCGCGCACGTAGAAGCTCCGCGCGCGCGTGCCTTCGCAAATTTATTCGCGAGTAATAATTGCAGCAATAGAGCGACGAGAGAAGAGAATGAAACTCCCCCTGTCTCTCTCTCTTTCTCTCTCTCTCTCTCTCTCTTTCTCTCTCTCTCTATATATATATATATATATATATATATATATATATCGTCCGCGGCGCGCCCAGGTCGCCCGTTAATTCGTAGATCTATCTATCGTTTCCTCGTTATATGTCTTTGACGGCCTGAGATTATCAAACCCCCTACGTGAGCCCATTACGGAATCCTCCTTAACTAAATTCGAGTGCGTGACGTAAATAAACAATGACGCCGATCGATTTTCCGCGTTGGCTCCATGTAACACATACTAGTACAGCGACACAGTGACGATGTACATGGCAAAGTGGAGTACCCGTGAAATATTTTCGCGACAATAAATATACACGGGCCGATCTCGTGGCGACGGGACTCGATCTTTGTGCTACGATCGACTTTTCGTGGCGCCTCCTGCTCGTGTAATGAATGCTGATACGTCGGTGACGGCGTAAGGAATAAGAGATCGGGACGTTTGTCAAGTGTTCTCGCGAAAGACAGAGAGGGGAAGAGAGAGAGAGAGAGAAAGAGAGAGACACTGAGGAGAAGAGAGAGCGAATATCCTGAAAATATTCCTCGCGATGTCGGGCTCCCGAGCATTCCCTCGTATCGTCCCGTATTCCCCGAGAAAATTATTTGTTACCCGACGTGAAATATCTGCGACGGCTTTCGTCAAATTGTCAGAACCGGCACGATAAGATCGACGCTTGATTTATCGTTTGGAAAGCATGTCACGGTGAATCACGTTATCTAGGTAGTCGACGGCGAAGTTACGTTCGGTTTTCGAAATAGAGGTATCGCGGCCGTGCCGAGAGAAGTAACGCAACGGGTGGAGCAATCGGCGAGATCGATTCTCTCGCTGCAAAATAACGGCAGGAACTACCGCACGCTCGATGCTACTCTTTCAGCGGGAATCAAAATTTTAACGGGGCTGCTGGAAACAATCAGGGAAACGACTCGTGCAAGTGTCCTCATGTGTGTGTATACCATTTAGCAAATATATTTTCACACAGAGGGAATTTTATAGTAAAACTTGCTGTGTAAGCGAGAAATAGATTGACACTCCATAGTAACTCTCACTATCCTTTCGTTTCGTATCTGCTAACTTATATGTAACTGAGGTGTACTACCAGAAAGCACTTGCTATATTTTTAGTGAAATTTGCTATGCTCTTTAGCGAAATAAGCCTTACACTGAGGGAAAAAATGCTTGATCTTGTAAAACTTATAGTTTTTGGCCCCAACCATATTTTTGGTTATCCAAACACGAAGATGGTAACATGCATTTAAGGCTACCATTACTAATATTATAGTGGAATTTAATAAAAGAAATTATTTCTCTGGGCGATTGTAGCTGTAAATACATCAAGTATTCTTTCCCTAGTTTATTAGCAATTTATTTTTGAACTACTAAGAACGTAGTAGGAACGAAATTATACGAAACAAAAGGTAACATTATTCTCTCTGTTTTTCCGTAGTCGTCTTTATTTCCGGTCAATGTATTTATACACTACTCGAGGTCAGATTATTCGTTCGAGGAACGACCGCTTAAACATTTAAAAAATACTTAATAGGGGAGACAGGTTTTATAATAGGAGCAAATTATAGCGGTGTTTTTATTTATAAAGAAGCGGAAATAAGATAATGCTTCACAGACCAAAAAAGAATCTCGTCGTGAGAGGCGGGTTTTATACCAAACCGACTAAATATTTCAGGAATGCTGCTTTTAGTGTCCGCCACCGTCTTTCCGGGGTAACACACATTTACATCTCGCGCGGCTCCTCTCGCTCTTATATTTAATTTCTCAGCTGTATGAACGCGCGTGAGAATATCTCGAAACGTTGTATATTTTAGCTGTCTATTCTTACAGGGCAACGCGCGCGGAGAGTTTCCGTTATCCGTCGGCGCTTACCACCACTTAGCAAAACTATTATCTCGTGTAATTATTTCGAGCGGCGTGCATGAATCAACAATGAGCTATGACCGCGCGATTTCTATGCGCCCAGCTATTTAACAACATCGGCATTAGCTGTCGCATTCATAAAGTCATTTGCATTTCGCGTCCAGTCGAGTCGGTTGATTTAAATGCTCTTTGACTAACGTATCAAAGGCTGCGTGGCTCAGCCCGGGAGTGTATATCGCGCTTAGGCACGGTAATCCGCTTCAGAATGGTCGTTGGCGCTAATCCCGCCTGAATTCCCACTCAATTTCTGATCGGTCGCGCAAAAGCGCAGCCCGCCCGCGCGTTCGCTCGCTCGCGTGCGCAAATTAAACGACTGTGATTCTGCCGAGCCGCCGTATATATATTAGTTAATAGCGTCACGTCGGCATTCGGGGAAGCGGCCCCTGGATATATCGGGGTAAATCCGTATAACGCGCGCGCGAAACTCGACTCGACTGGCAATAATGGAGCCGCTGGAGATGGGTGATATCCGATCGATTAACTGTTAAAAGCTAGTAATTATGATATAAAAGAATCGTATCGTTGCACTTGGTTGAGCTGCATCGGGTTACATCGCGATGACTCGAGTCGACAACGGGACGTAT